CTGTAACGTTCAATTTTTATAAATAGTGGGACAGAGTTTTTTTTATATATTTTAATCTGATTGAAAATTTATCTTAAACATTTTCTTATATCAACTGTTTGCCGGTCATCATTCTAACATTTTTTAAAGATATTTTCAAATCAGCTCAACTTGATAATGGAAAAATGAACATAATTTCACTTTAATAACAAACGATACCAACAAATTTCAAAGGGTGAATGTTTAGCTTCCAAGTCAAGTCAAGTAAATTTTATTTATAAGTCGGATACATCAACAATAAACATAAGCTCTGATGAGCTTTTTACACCGACTAATGTCATTGATGTACATTGATCAAGCTTCCAATTGAAATTAATAAATACTGGTCAAGATATGCTGTTATTTCTCTTGAAACGATGTAGAATGATTAAACTATTTGTAATGTATGTTTCAACTGTATCTGGGAAAACGGACAAATTGTCTTCCTTATATTTATTGTACTCAGCTTGAAGGTTAAACTATCTTGCCACAAAGTGGACTTTGTTCTTTCTACAGTATCAGCGCGTGTAAGGTATTTAAAAGCGCTTAGGTGACTGAAAGCGTCTTTGATGTCAGAGATTTATTTCAGGAAACGTTGCAGGAGTTAACGGTTTTTATTAGAAAGCATTTAGGGGCAGATCTAAGATGCTTGCGAATCACCTGACGTAATAAGTACTTAACATATATGTAGATAAAGAATGAGTGTAGGAAAATGTGATTTTCTTTCTTTAAAAAATAATATATCATAAACAATGTAAAAAAACGCATTCTCTCTAACCCGGTAATATTGATGATGGTGGTGATCTTTATTTTCAAATTTATGTCATATTCTTTGAAACATTTTGTTTCAATACATTTAGTCTAGAAATACGTATCTTTATACATGTTTATATTCTGTATATTAAATGTCATTGATGTACATTGATCAAACTCAAATAAATAGCCATGATTCCGATGCAAAATAGATAAACGTGAATGAAATGCATCGAATACTGAAAGATTTCGTTAGTGACGTTTACGAATATCACATTATATTTAAAATAAAGAAAATATTAAACTGTTTCTGGACTGCAATGAAAATTGCACTGTGAAATATCCGTTATCAGTTCAATTGAGTGTATATTTACATATATTGCATTTGTTTACAAATGTAGAGTGATAATGATTAGGGAAATTGAAAATGTATTAAATTTTGGGAGCAATAGCGAAAATATTTCTTTTGAGATTGGTTCAATGTGCGTTTTCCACTTGGAAAACACGGGACCTGCATTATTTTTGTATGAAATATCAGTATTTCCATTCGCCATTATTTTATGGAAAATGATATGAAAGATTCAGAACAACTACACATTAAAGGCACATTATGCGTCAGAAATAAATATTTTTTAACTTATTTAGAAAGGCAAACATGAACTTTTTAACATTAAAATTATGGTTTTAAAGTATGTTAGATGCTCATAACATGAAAAAGTAGCAAAATGTAAACAAAGTAGTATTATGACTTCCATACAAAATACTTGATAATTATAACACTTGCCAAACAGCAACAGAAGCAAAAGATTGTTCAGGTTATTGAACAGAACAGAACAGAATATTTATTTTGACTTAAGCATATACAGCTTATCATCAATCATGAAAATATAATACATGTACATTCAATCGCATGCAAATGAAAATGGCAAAACAAGTTGTCAGTTGCATAGAAGGAAGATAATATGCAATGTAATCAGTATAGGCATACTGATCTACTAAATCAAATTAGCAAATATATATAACACACATGTCGACATTTGATATAATTAAACTTCAAGATTAATGTGATTGTTTCTTACTTTCAGAGCTTTTGAAATAAATATTGACAGTCTACACAATATTTTGAGATTATTACAGTCTAACAGTTCAATAAACTTAAACATGTTTGGGCGATTTCTGAAATAGTACGGAATATATAATTTTCTCAAGTCCTTATACTTCTCACATATACAGACAAAATGAAATTCGTCTTCAATATCGTCTTTGGTACATATAACACACTTTCGTTCACTTCTTAACTGGTTTCTATGGCGACCCTGCTTTATGGCTAAACAGTGCGAAGAAAGTCTAAATTTAGCCAAGACATTTCTGAATTTGTTATTATTAAGTATTGTCAAGTATTCAGACATTCCAAATGTTTGTTTAATTTCTTTATATAGAGTCAATGCCGTTGAAATGTTAACTGCCTCTCTCCATTGTCCTATATAAATGTCTTTAAGCCTAAGCTTAAACTGTGTAATAAAGCACTCTATGTTAACAACAGATGCAGGAAAACACCAGACATCATTAAACCCCGTCTCTTGCAACATAGTCTTGACATTTGATAACCAATTGTTTTGTAAATCATGTGACTCAAATAGAAAATTATAAACAGAATATAAAATACAATTCTTATCATGTGAATCTAATAGTTTGAAAAAATATTTCATTATTTTACTTTTCTGTTTAAAATTAACGGAAACCGTCCTGTTTCACCATAAAGTGCATAACTGTTCGTACTCATTTTTACATCCAATGTCCATTTAAGATATTTTCTATGAAGTCGCTCTAGTCTTTCTGCTTGGCTAAATCCCCACAGTTCAACACAATATGACATTATAGATGTTACATAAGCATCAAAAAGGTTAAAGTTTATATGTAGTGGTATTTGCATCCCTCGAGTGATGTTTTTTAGAGAAAACATTGATTTAAGAGCTTTATCTGCTAATGCATCTATGCCTTTTCGAAATGAACCGCCACTGCTCATTACAAAGCCAAGGTAATTAAAGTTTTCAACAATGTCTATGGTCTGGCCGTTATATGTCCAAGTTTGATTTCTTGGTAATTGACCACCCTTTCGGAATACCATAATTTTAGTCTTTTCAACGTTAACTGTAAGGTGCCATCTTTTACAATACGCCTCTAATTGGTTAAGATTGGTTTGAAGAGCTTCAGGGGTTTCGCTAAGCAATACACTGTCGTCTGCGAAAAGGATTAAATATATAGATAACTGGTCTAAAGTTAATCCACAGTCTATATTTTCCTGTAGACATACTTCAAGGTCATTCACGAAATGGCAAAATAGTAATGGCGAAGTTAGCTCCCCTTGGAATAGTCCATTATCAATTTTAAAGAAGTCTGATAGGGAATTTAGGTGTTTAACACAAGATCGTACGTCACTATACATGGATCGTAACAATTTAAGCAATTTTCCATCGAAACCTTCCTTTATTAGTTTGTACCAGAGCCCGTTTCTATATATAGTATCAAAGCACTTCTGATAGTCAACAAAAGCAGCATACACCTTTTCATTTTGTGAAGTATACTTCTGTATGATAGTAGATAAAACGAAAACAGCGTCAGTAGTACTGTGACCCGACTTGAACCCAAACTGTGCATCAGAGAGCTTGTCATGATTTTTGGTCCACACTTTCATTCTCTCATTTATTATTCCTGTAAATATTTTACCCAGGCAACTTAGTAGCGTGATTCCCCTATAATTGTTTGCAATGTTAGATGGTTGTTTTTTCAAAATAGGTATTACCAATCCCTCTGACCATTGACTCGGGAATTCACCTGCGTCGAGAATTTTGTTGAATATAAGTAACAACGGTTCGGAAAGGATGTCGATACACTCTTTAAAATATTCATTTATCATATTGTCTAATCCAGCGGCTTTGTTTCTGTTTAACGAGTTAACAACTTTACGTAATTCATTCTCCGTAATTGGCATGTCTAATTCCTCGAATGTAACTTCTTCCATGTTATCACAATTATTGTCAAATTCGCTTAGAAACTCTTGTACATCGTCGTTATCATCCACTTTTGCGGCCAGAGATTTAAAATGATTGTAAAAGTCATCTAAAGTAACACTCTCATCGACTGGGTTATTGCCCTGCTTAAACATTTTCCAAAATTCTCTTGGCTTTTTACGCCGCATTTCATTCATTTGTCTCCCTTTGTCTATATTATATAACGCTTTTGTTTTTCGTACGAAATATTTGTAGTCTTTTTTAAGGCGTTGAAAATTTTCGAAATTATCTGTATTTCTGTCACAATTGTACCTTTCAAGGGCCTCTCTATATCGCTTCCGTTTATTTTCACATTCAATATTAAACCACTTTTTCCGCTCGGTCATTTCACTGTCGAGAAATGTTGAGTTTTTTACCTTTATAGATTTCTTAAACAATGGTTTTGCCTTTGAATCAATGTAGTCTGTGAACATTGTAACAGTCCTACCAAGTGCTTCTCTCCCTTGTGCATCACTATTGGCCTATGGGTAAAACTTTGGATACTATAAAAGCATACTGAAAATAAAAAGCTTTTGAACAATAAAAATTAAAGCATAACGGAGGCACAATAGGCCTTTAAGAGCCTATGGGGAAAAGTAAGTTGCATTTGTTAAAGCAAGATTTTCCCCCCAAATATCCTTTAATGTCCGGATTACGGGTTGCTCTTATTTGCAACACCCCTTAAAACGAGAATCACTGGACCGTGGATATGCTACCAATCAGAAAATTTTGGTCGTTTTAGAGGTTGTCCAACTAAATCACCTGATCACGCGCTGCCTTTCGCGACTGGTCAATTAGTAGATCTTGACCACGCCTATCAGTTAAGAATAACTAGTTGTGTTGATATTTCACTTAATATTGTAATAAGTTTAAGATATTAACAATTCCATGTCTTCTTTATTCATATGCAAAATTTCGAGTGAAATCGCTTTAAAATTATTAACGTTTATGAACATAGTCGTGCACGCAATGTAATAAATGAAAAAAACTATATATAATATCAAACGGATGTATTTGGCAAAGGAACATGATAGTTAATTATAAATTTAACACTATTTGTCAAACTTCTGGCAATAATAAACAACATATATTTCGTTACAAACGTAAAACCTTTTCATACATCAGGTAAGATAAGATCGTTACTAGGGGATCTAAATATCGCTTATAGATAGTTCCCGCATGACGTCACACATCCGGGCGACCGGTTACCATCCGCCATTTTGATAGGATAACAAAGCGGCTTTTCTGCCGAGTAATCAGAGCGAGAAATTCTATTTTTATCTTGACAATGGTAGTTTCCTGTTGGGTTCAAGGTTGTTTTAATACAGCCGGTGATTCCGTTAAACGTAGCTTTCATTATATTCCTAAAATTAGAGAGCATGAGGGGCTGCAAACAAAAGAATTAAGTACAGAGCGACGGAGGGTTTGGCTAGCGAATATCAACAGGAAAGCTCATCCCACTCCTTCGACAAGGATATGTTCAGCGCATTTTATAAGCGGTACGTTATTAATTGCATCCACGGCATCAATGTATTGTCACCCAATTTTATTGTTGTAATGAGAAAAGCCCCTCCATGACCATGAAAGCTTACGGCTACTGTCAGACTATGTACAGTACACACCCATTGATATCTTATTACAAATATTGTTTGTTGCAATAAAAAATATAAAAAAAACTGGAAAAAAGTCAAGCTGTAGATCTACAATTTATTGTAATTTATATACGATAGTTATTGATAATAAGCTCTAGTTAAATTTATAATATTGTGTATGATATTGCAGGAAAACCAGCTGATCTATATGATAAGTCAAATCCAGACTGGGCTCCAACATTACAACTGAGTGACCTTTTGACTCCCACTAAATCCTGCAAGAAAGCTAAGCAAGCTTCAACTGGCATGAAACGGTATGTGTTCTATTATATATGTTTCAAAATATATAAATAAATATTTTGCTCAAACTATAAAAAAAAACTGATGACTAACTTTTGTTGACAAGTTACTTCTATATTCTTGTCCTATTTATGTAATTTTTTTTAAAAAAGATAAACACTGAATAAAGTAATAACAGAACTGTATTATATATAGCCAGGGTCTTCCAAATAGAATTTCTATAGGATATAGTATATTTGAGCCATGTCACGACAAAACCAACATAATGGGTTTGCAACCAGCATAGATCCAGACCAGCCTGCACATCCGTGCAGTCTGATCAGGATCCATGCTGTATGCTATCCATGCTGGTCGCGGCTGGTCTGGATCCATGCTGGTCGCAAACCCATTATATTGGGTTTTTCATGACACGGCTCATATGTAGATGATAAATGGAAAAAAAATGAAAGACATCTTTTGACCATATTGAATAATTTTTTCAGGTACAAAAGAGTCCAAGAAAGGGAAAAGAATCGTATAAAGCACCAAGTTGCCAGGACTCTGATAGAGTTATCAAGCACAAATGAGCCAGAGTTTGTTGCCACACCATTGACTGCAGATGTTTTGGACCAAGACCCAGAGCCAATATGCCAACTAACATTTGATGAACTGAACAATGATGATGACACTAGTGTTGATGAACTGGGACAAGTGACTCAAAGTCAAGTTAACAGTGAACTTCAGCGACTGCTGATAAAAACTATGCTTTGAAACAAGAATTACAGCAGGTCAAACTAAATGAATCGTCCTTTGAAAACAATGATGAGAAAGTTAAATACTACACTGGGTTACCAAATTTTATCATGCTGATGACTGTTTTTGACTTTGTTAAAGACTACATTCCAAAACAAAGAGTAAATTCAGAACTAAGCCAATTTGAAAGATTGATAATGACATTGATGAGACTGAAATTAAACTTTCCAGTGCAATATCTGGCCTATCAATTCAACACTTCCACATCAACTGTTTCAAGGACCTTTACAACCATGATTCACATTCTGTTTGTTAGGTTTAAACATTTACTTTATTGGCCTAAAAGGGAAGAACTTCGACAAACGATGCCATTAGAATTTCGTAAATCTTTCGGACAAAAAACAGCAGTTATAATCGACTGTTTTGAGGTATTTATTCAACGCCCAAAAAACCTTCTTGCCAGAGCTCAAACTTGGTCCTCATATAAACACACTAACACTGTAAAATTTTTAATTGGGATTACACCCCAGGGTTCAATATCTTTCCTCTCAAAAGCGTGGGGTGGAAGAGCCAGTGACAAATACATAACTGAAAATTGTGGCATCTTGGGGAAACTTCTACCAGGAGATCTTGTCTAAGCAGACCGAGGATTTGACATTGCTGATAGTGTTGGCATGTGTTGTGCTCAAGTTACCATTCCAGCATTTACCAAGGGAAAGGCACAACTTTCAGCAATTGATGTTGAAACAACTAGAAAGATAGCACATGTGCGAATTCATGTAGAAAGAGTTATAGGACTTGTGAGAAACAAATATACTATCTTGCAAGATAGACTCCCTGTTGATTTTTTAATATGCGAGGAAGGCCTTCCGGTTGTTGACAAAATAGCCACAGTGGCTTGTGCACTTACTAACATGAGTGACTCAGTGGTACCCCTTAATTAACAGTGTCAGATTATGGGCAATAATAACTCTATATTGGTCCTGTTATATACTGTGTCAATGAATATTTATCCACTTTCTTTAAATTTATTGGCATGATCAATAGAGAAATGTTGTGAGTTTCATAACAAAATGTTGTAACTTTCATATCTATTTTATACATATACATGATAAAAGTTTATTTCATGTAAATTTTTCAGATACTGAATGAAAGATTCTTAATAAAAATAAATGTTCATAATAGTTTATCACTTTATTGACACATGGTGTTTTGTTTTTAAAAGTTACCACTAGCGTATAAGAGGAATATGTATATATGGAATATATCACTTGCCCTTCACTCCCACAAGCGACTTTAAGTAAAGCTTGATACTTGTCATATGACCATTTCAGTGTCAGCGTTAATTGAATTAAAAAAGTGCAATACAATAAAATAGCGGAAAGGAAAGACAAATAAAATTGAATTGCAAAATATTTTAATAATAACTTGAATCATTACTCATTATTGTATACACAAAGGAATACCAGTGAAGTTATCTTAAATTAGCAACAAATGAAGTTGTGAATGAAATGCATTAACATATTTACATAGACAAAGCACACATATTTATACATATATATACAGTACTTATAACATAGACAAAGCACACAGATTTTGTAGACATATTTACATTACTTACATACACAAATCATATTCAGGTCATTAATAGCACATATGAATTGGCACTGTCTTATATTATATACATCACTGTCTTACACATCAACTTTGTAATACAATGTCTAGCATATTCATGTCATAAAGGTCACATATAAATATATACTGACTAGCATGTTCATATCAAAAGCACATCAAAATTATGATACTGCACTATCTAGCATTATTCATGGAATAAATTAAATTGCACATCTCTATATAAACTATATATATTCAGAAAAATCACATGTTTACAGCTGACGGTTTAAAAGTACATGATGTCTGTATTTAGTTATACTGGATTTAGGTAGCTTGAAGGTTCGGGACAGTCATCTTTGATTTCATGTACAGTCATTGAAACACTTAACAGTGTTTTGATTTTTTAGCTGGTCGTTTATTTCTACATTCATTACAGTAAAACTTCCCCCGTGGTACTTTGGTCAAGTTAATACATTTAAAATGTAGCCACACATAGGGACAGTTCTGGTTGTCACACCCAATAACATCCTCCCCATCTTTATATGGCTTCTGGCAGACACATATAATTTCACTTGCCTGTGAAGAACTAGGTTCTGTTACTGTTTTATTTGAATTGTTTGGCATTAGGGTTCTCTCTCTAGAGATCAAGCTTCCTGTAAGTTCTAGCAGTATAACATTTTTAAAGTATGATGTGGTTTTTTTCACTATTTCTTCCTGAATAACAGGCAATGGCTCAATTCTTTGAATTAAACACTCATCCTTAGTCCAAATGACAAAATCACAGTATAATTTGTTGGTCACTAAGAGCTGTGTCTGAACTTGGTACATATACTTGTGCTGGTGTTTCAATGCCATGTTTGTGTCCAAGTATTCCAAATCTTTCACATTACCGTCCTTTACTGAATATGGACACTTAATTTCAATAAGTCCATCACCACAACATGAACAAGAAACAATGCCATCCGGGCTAGCTCCTAGGTGTGGATGGGCAGGACTAATAAATAGGCCAGAGTTGTCTACCTTTAAATCATCATGAAGTGGACTTATTTCTCTTCTATACCTCAAAAGTGCCTCGCGCTCATGGGCTATTCCCCATTCTGTGGCTTTGTTTGTAAATCGACTTCCTGTCCCACAAATAGCCTTTACAGTTGATAAAGCTGGTTTGTCTTCCGAACCTGAACACACAAGTTTTACATTTGACGCTGTAATACGTCCATGTCTGAAGACATGCCACTCTTTACATTTAAACTGTTGCTTGGTTATAATTTCCGCATTTTTGGCCTGTTCGCAAGTAACAGTCAATGTCTGTTCCAGTTGAGCACATTCACTGATTAGTTCTTCTCTTTCCATATTCATGAATTTTTCATCACGAAGTGTCCCAAGTGATATTGGTAACTTCCCCTTTCTAAGAATATCAGGGATATAGTTTTCCTGAAAGTTCTCTTTCACTGCCAAGACTGCTGGCTTAGATTTGCATAATGATAACACATGTGAAAAATGTTGCTCCTCTTCCAAAGTTGGCTCCTCTACTTTTGGTAGTTGTAATGCTCGTTTGGGTGTCTTCTCACCACTACACAACAAATGATTCAAGTCCTTTACCTTCTTTTCGGCTGAGGAAAAGTCAATGTCTTTCACTTCTAAATACTGAACCTTGTCGACATAAGACGGCACAGGCCAGTATGCTTTCTTCTGTGTTACAGTCAAGTTGGCATTTGCTCTGTGTGTTGCTTCTACCCAGAAGAGTAAGGCACCTATGTGACTGCACACTTCACCCAATCCCGCCATGCAGTTACAGTGAGCAGATTCGACAAAACCATCTATCCTAACAATTGCCCATGGTGTCAATGGTGTGTCATTCATCCTTTGCGAATGTCGTACCTGCAAATAATGAACACATTGATAATTTTCAGCTCAAAGATAATAATCATATTCATAAAATATCATCAGTGATTGACACCTAATTGAGTTTAAATTTTTAATTTATGTCAATGAATCTCATAACAATCATGTCAATTATAATCGCAAAGATTGCAAGTCCCTTTTAACCATGTCCCAGCACGAAAAAAAAATTATATAAGTTTACAAAAAATTGGTATATATTCCCAGACCAGGGTAAAATAATAATGTGTATTTGCTATCTTTTCATTTTGGTAATAAGAAATCCTATTTTAATGACCAATTTACAACTGTGTTTATTCCAAAAAGAAGATATTTCTTAATATATATTGTGCTGTTTTCTTCCACTTAAAACTCACAAAATTATATGACCTACCCTGCCTTTCACCAGAATCCTTTCATTTTTCGTCAAAGTACGAACATCTTTCACCCAGCCATTGTAACAGTGGTTAAATGAGTCCATAGATTTAACAGCATTTAACTCGTCCATTGTGTAAGCACTTTTAGAGTTAATAAAATAATTAACAATGTCAAAGTACGAAACCGCTGGGAGTGAATCAACATCGCTAGACATTTCCTCATTATTTACACAATACGGGTCACAACCGATCACATTAGTTTTTTCTTCGTATCTTTTGCGATGTAAATCATCAAGACTTTCTTTGTAAACGTCAAGTGCTTTTGTAGAAGCCATTATTTAGCATATTTTGTACTTATTTATAAATGATTCTGAGATTGTTTTTCCTATCCTACCAAGATGGCGGCTGTTTACGAAAACGCGCACCTGCTAGGGATTGTGGGAACTATCTAAAGATGGGAATCTCATGCAGATATTTTATTCATCATATAGTAAAACTTTGCAAGATCTTTATTATATTTTATCTGTAAACCTAAAAAGTTTGAACATTCACAGAGGAAAGATGTTTCTAAAACTTCACACATTATTTTAATGACGGTAAATCGAAAATGTTCGATATATTTTCCGGATATCTTGTTAAATCGTGTTATTGCCGACGTATAAGTTAAAAATTAGAAATAAAGATATAGAAAAGTTAATGCGCATTATAATTATGTTTAAACAGTTTTTATTTAATGCAAATAAACATATCACCTAAAAAAGAATTACGAATTACCAGTATAGTTTTCGATAAATAAATTCACACTTACGGTGTTATGGATAATGGTATAACAGTCGCGCAAATTCATTCATTCATTCATTATTCATTCATTCATTCATTCATTCATTCATTCATTTTTATCTATTTATCCCATCTCATTCATTCATTCATTCATTCATTCATTTTTATCTATCTATCCGATTCATTCATTCATTCATTCATTCATTCATTTATATCTATCTATCCGATTCATTCATTCATTCATTCATTTTTATCTATTTATCCCATCTCATTCATTCAATCATTCATTCATTTTTATCTATCTATCCGATTCATTCATTCATTCATTCATTTATTTATTTATTTATTTTTAAAATTTATTTTTAAGATTTATAGCTTCAAACTACAAAAAGGTTATATAAAAAAGAAATATAGAAATTAATGCTTCCTTGAGATTCAAACCTACAACCTTAAAAGTGGAAGTGAAAATCTTAAATCCTTGTTACTGAGGCTAGTTAGGCATATGTTGTGTTAGTAACTTAAAGTAAAAAGTGTTTAATTTTAAAGTAAGTAAGTAAGCTTTATATACATGTGTATACTGATTGTACATTATTTATGTATTACATGTTTCTTATTGTGACTATGTACAAATATGTATACGTCAATAAATTATATCTATCATATCATTTCGTTCAAGGGTACTATTTGTATTTAACAGTAGATTAAAGGGCTATATTAAGTAGACAAATAAAATCAGTATTATGCAGACGCTTGAATCTGCCTCCTAACTGATTAAGAGTAATCTACTGAAAGCGTCTGCATAAACCCGAGTAAATATTGTATTATGTCGGCAAAATGCCTCAATGCAGACCCAAAGAGTTTTATGACAGGAAACCACGGGATCCAGGACCTTTATTAATACACAAGGATTTAGTGACCTACATTTCTTGTGCTATTTGCCGGCGCGTAATTATCACACGCGTGGTAATATTACCACGCGTGTGATTATTACGCTGGGTCGTAATTATCACACGGTTTGGGGTAGTGCCGTGATAATCACACGGACGGTATTATATTTACACTTAATATTCTTCAATTATATATCATTTTTTCCTAAATGATTTCCGCGTCTAATGGTGTAAATTTTATTAAAAAGCTATGATTTTCCACCGCATAGGGGTATCTTAAAGTGTAAACTTAAGACAGAAAATGTTCCTTCCTAAATATTAGCGTGCAATCTTTCGATACAGACATTAATATAAATAATGCCTGATACAATTGAAAAATATTTTTCAGTTTAGATTTCTCTCTTTTAAAATAGTTAAAAAAGTCTGTTTCATGGATTTCCCTCCGTTTTTTTTTTTTATATAAGTCCCCCTTTTAGCTGAAATATATAAATTAAGTCTTATTTGTTGCGCTTTGTGTGTTTGCATGCAATTCAAGATAATAGTAAAATCCAAAATTAAATGAAAAGAATAAATAAATAAATCAATAAATAAATAAATAAATAAATAAATAAATAAATAAATAAATAAATAAGTAAAAG